GGTACGTGCCGAATGTGAACGTAGCTTAACGTGAACGTAGCTGCAGAGTGTTACAATCCTAATCTCTAAGACGTAGCAGAAAAAACATGCGACCAGACAATCGCTGCAGTCGTTGGCACGATCACGTGATTACCGGGATGTGTGGCAAGTTTAAAGCCTTGTAATGTCTCCACCAGCAACCACAATTAGTAAACAATCTATTTCTCATGCATCTCGCGAGATCTCGCAGTGTACGGAAAATCACCAATTCCTGCAATATATGTTTATAATGTCCACCCTAAACATGCAAGTTGTTGATTCTAAACAATAGAGCAGCGACGTGTGAATCAAATGTGCGTACATGATGTCGCTATGGTAACAAAATACTGGTATGATAAATATAATAATAACAAAGCAATTTATATAAAGACCACTTCATGTATAATAAAAAGTACTTAATTTCCCCCCAACAATTTCATCATAATGAGATGACGAATCTCAAGACAATATTTCAAGTTGACACTTCCCCTATTTAGTTTTGCATTTTAGTTAATTCCCCTTTTATAGTGTTTTAGGAGATTCGATACGTGTCATAATTTCAAGCGATAATATATGTAAATGTGTGTATGCGGGGGTAGGGTGAAAATAATGTACTAGTATACTACATTCCTGCAAACCTTGTGCAAGTAGTTTTATTATTATTTCTTTATTCTGCACTATATGGCCACCGGCCTAAAGTACTGTTACATTTCAAAACTTAAATTACACACGGTCGTTTTAAAATTACAAGATACATATACTTCAAATTATACTTCCATTTCAGTTTCTCTGTAATGAAAACTCTTAAACAAATATTTACCCAAACTTAATAAGATATATGAGTTAGTACTCTGTAGCAATGCAATTAATTTCATCTTGGTTGGTGGTGAAAACTAATATTTTGGTAAGAATTTTTGTCTAAGTGCTTCATATTTTGGACAAACCATAGTAAAATGGTATTCGTCCTCTGTGACCCTACAACCAAACGCACATAACCTTTGGTCACGTGAAATACCCAATGTTCTACCATTTTCAATTTCTAGGGGATGACAGGAAATTCTAAGTCTAGTTATAGCACATGAATAGATAGGAGTAGCCAACGAAATAGCAGCAAGATATCTTTCACATATTAAATCTTGTTTGAACATACAATACGTTTGAAGCTTTATATTATTATTAATTTCTGCAAGTAGTTTACAATGATACATGATCCAAGAACAAGTCTGGTCTATTTCAGTAAAAATCGTGATTATATTACTAGTTTTTTTAAAAGTTTGGCATATCTGCTGTGACGTAAAACAATTTAAACTTCTTATTATCCTTACTCTGTTAACCACTTTTGACATAATATTGTTTAAAAACTGATAATATAATAAATACAGTAAACCAAACCTCGCATAGTGTGTTATATTGGTGTGTGTGTGTTGAATGGTTCATTTATATCAGGTTTCTGTCACAAACAATATATTCATTTGGGGTGTATTTGTTGTTTTAATAAAAACTTGAAAACTTAGAAGTAATATTATTATTATTTACTATTTTTCACTTGCTACATTTTGGATGTCGAAAAGATTACATACAAACAAGTTCCTTCTTTTCATCCCAAATTCACAAAATAGTCCTGTTTATAATCTACGCTTTCCTTCAGAGGTTTCAGACAAAATTAGGGAAATGTTTTAGTAAAAACCGAAAATTTACTAAAATGTTGTCTGTTGGCTCTAAAATTAAGGTTAATTTCCAGAGAAATTTTGAGAATATTATAAAAAAAGGCAGAACAATTTGGGCAAGAACGTCTGGTGGTGATAAGTTTAACGGTTGATTGATATCGTCTGGATCACAGACTCACTGCGTTCAGGAATCGCGTCTCAATCTACGTTACGCCATTGACTACAAAACAGGTCAGGGTCAAACTTCACAATATCGTGTTTGTTTTGTTTGTTTTTTATTTAATATATCGCAGTTTATTTCTTCATATATTGTCAGAAATTGTTACATTTCAAATCATAGTAATGAATTAAAAATTACATATCACAAAAAAATTCTGTTCTCAAAATATGTGTTTTGACAAAACAAAATATTCTTTCCTCCTGACTATGGTTCTTTAAGATTCACTCCTATGTGCGATTTTTTTTTCTGAGAATTTAAGTATACATGCAAAATGACAAAATAAAGTAGCTGGGTGTGGTGGTGCCATATTTCTCCAGACTCTCAAGAGTGGTTAACAAGAATGACAATAATACCATGTAGAGAACAAAACAAAAATAAAATCATTACCTAATTTTAAAATTTCCCCACTTTTCAAAATACAGGTTTGTTTTATTTTGCTTAATTAAAATATAGTGTTCAATTTGTTGTAGTTTATGTATGTTCATTTTAACCATATTAAAAGAGAGTAAACAGTTTTTTAACTTGCTAGTGTAAATTGTCCACTCAGTAATGATAATTAGATGATTCAAAAGCTTAGAAAACAGAGTATCACCTAATAATATTTGTTCACATGTGAGAGCACCTGGGGTTCTTAAATGTGTTCCATATTGACCACACAATGTAGTCCAAAGGCTTCTAACATATTCACAATTGACAAACAAGTGTAGGAGTGTTTCTGCAAAACTATGACAAAACGTACAAAAGACCAGAGGCTGTAAGAGGAGGTATCATGTGATGTAGCATGGAGTTTGTATATAGGACATTATGTGTTATCTTCCACTGAAACTCTTGAAGTTTTGTTTCCATGGTGACAGCAAATGGTAAAAGAAATATTTCCTTCCATTCGGTGTCTTCAATGTGAAACAAATGAGTAAAGAAAAGAGTACTCTTAGATGGGATTAGATACAAGCTAGACAAAATTTTCCGTATTAGCTTGCATTTTAAATCCTTCAGATACATAAATTTATTATTAATGGTTATACTATACACAATATCGTGTTTTATCAATAGAATTTTTCAACCCTGAAGAATTGTTATCGCCGTCATCGTACACACAATTGTTTATGTTAGCCGTGCAGCCAAATTAACATATTCATGCCAACTCTTATTTTTTGCAGGCTCAGTATAAACTCAGAACTACTACAGTAGTCTGGGGTAGGTATAAGCGTCACACCTCATAACAGGCAGACACACGATTGTCATTTCAGTTCCGTTAAAGATACGTTTGTCCGTGGTTATCACATTCACACATGTATTTCTGAAATCACAATCACAATAAAAATGTTGGTGTGTCCCCAGTTAGTTTAAAGCGCGATGGTCGTCGCGCAGCGCGTGTTTGAATTCCATGTAAATAAAAAAAATATTTTACACGCGTTGTATACGTCGCTATGAGTCCCATATCGAACAGAACGCGGCGCGACGACTGCCGCCCTTGAATTAGGTCGTTCGACGTTACACATTAGAACCGCATGCCTGAGAATCGTAACTCTACTCGTGTGTACAAGTACAACTGAGGTACGTTATTTCATCAAAGTGCATGACAACAATATAGTGAAAGGATGATTCGGGGCATTATATTCATTAACAACGTCGTTGTCATTAGTATATTACCATGCATATGCCGGAAGCAGTCAATAAAGCTATCGTATGAGAGAGGTTTTGCAAGTGGGCGGGATCATATTCTACAGCTTTGTGGGCGAGGAGATTTTCCGCATTTGGGAGTTTTATTTTTCTGCACACAGTTGAGCGGGTAAAATATATTTTGGTGGGAGGGCGAAGGGATATATTGCGTATTCGGGTGGGTATTTTTTATGTAGAAGGTAGTTTACAATGACCCTTTAAACAGCTCCCGAAGTTCATTTGGGCGCATGGATTTTGTTGTCAATGTTCAGAACACCGCGTAGGCTATGGTACCTCGGCGTGTAGTGCATCCATTCTCTGTCACCGTCGTAACGACCAATATTTTGTCACTTCCGCCTGTGAGTGTAGACGCTGTTCGACAAAAACGTTCGACAGTGGGAGGGGTTCGGGAGCAATTGGTACATAGCTGTGTAGGGAGGTGCCTCTGAGTGCTCAAAAGTGTGACCAATTTTATACTTGGATAGTTGCAAAATCTATACCCTTATTTACACCAAAGTACCATTTCTGCCATCACTGTTTATTCCAAATAAAACAGTTACCGTATTTGCTCTATTAGAAGAGCATCTCGAAAAGAAGCACATGTAAGCCAGTTCACTGAGGGATGTTCGCCCTCTTAAATCTCCGTTTAAATGTTGATTGCGTTGTTTAATTTCCGGGTTGATGTATACATGCATCTGAGGCCGGGATCTGAGGTGGACTATATTCGCTCATATATACGGACACATAAGTATACCAAATAGGAAAAATATTACCGATATTTATACCTATCTTGACCAGAAATAAGACCAATATTTATACCTAATATCCAAAAAAACGAGACGCATTCCAGAGGCACGTCCCCATTAGGCAAGCTCTATGTATTGCTCGCACCATGTGCAGTGGGGAAAGGGGAAGATGAAAATGAAAAAGAGGGGGCTGATTTTTTATTCCTAGAAAAAAGGCACTTTCTGAAGGTAGTAGAGGACTTTTGAAGTCCTCTAGAAATTTTCGTTAATGACATTAAATATTGATAGGATAAACTACATGAGCATTCTCTAATAATTTAAATGTGTATAATGGCTCGTTGAGTGATTCTGATATATGAGATTTTAAACAGAGGAGGAACCTGGTTTAGAATATGTAATGCCCCTTTTAATAGCAAAGGTTCCCTCTCGCATGAAAATGGTCTAGACCGTTTGCCCACAATCACACGGATCATGCAGACTGACCTCAAACGTCCCTGATTCAGGATAACATGACGCAGTAAAGCGGTTTGATTTTTTTGCTGAAAAATATAACTCGGAAAGACCAACGTGTTTATGGTGTTTTATACACGAACAGGGAGTGTCCGGGTGATTGCTGTGGTGTAAATAAAGCGCGAGGCACTCTGGGAATATAAACGTGACCTTACGTGAGTGGGCGAGTCTGAGCTTAACATGGATGGGAAGAGTGTAAGCGATTCCGTGATGACCGGACAAGATTCAGTGATTTTACCGATGCCTGGCTACTATCAGATGGTCACGTCTGTTGTACCCATTCAATTGCACATTTTACGGAAAATACCCGAAGATTTTAACTATTTCTATCAGTTCACGACGTATTGCCATTGGAACTGGGTGGATGCGTTTCTCGTCCTATTTCTCGCCGTGTTTTGGACCGCAACGAGAGCCACCTTGACGTATTACATATTTAAGGTTCGTTCATATATTATTTCCCGGGGCATCTGTTATTTGTGATTTTGCCGGCGCGAGATTTTCGCTAATGATGAAACTGAATTCATACCGTACGGAGCAGCGCAGGCAGATCCATTCAGAATATTCACTCATTTGCATAACAAAGGGGCGTTCATTCAGCTTTGTGAAACAGGTAAAGCCTTTCTGATTTTAGCAGCCCGTGTTCAGGTTCTGTATCTTAATATGGTATATGTTTATTTATATAAAATGCTAACAAGTATTCTAAATACGTTTTTTGCGACTAAACTAGAACGCATGCGCAATCCTTGGGTGTGTTGCCAGGTCGTTATTATGTTATTGTCATTAACAAGCGATCCTCAATAAATGCCAATACTTGGGTAAATCGACACATCTCTACGGGATGCCTATATCAATAGTCTCTGATTTATTGATTGTTGCATAACGCCGCAGTTAATGGCAGCGTAGATCTAATGTCAATATTTCCATATAAGAGCCTTATTTCACACGCGACTACTTCAGGGCCGCTGATAATAAACATACGCCCAATGCAAACATAGTATTTTCGTTAAATGTTCAACCTTTCAATCCCTCATCGCCACGACCCGTATTCAAAATTGTACCCTTCTTTCAAAGGTCAGTGCTTTTATTTACTGCTGCCGCGTATTAATAATAACTGCGCTGTAAAGATGTAGGTCAATGATCGTATCCATGGCAACTAAGGATGAGCTGTTAATAAAATAAAACGCACTGGGTGAATTAATATCGTCGTTTGACCTTTACCTCCTTAGTAACATTCTTCAAGTGACGACGAACGCTAAAATCATTTGGGAGGGACACGTGTCTACGATATTTCAACAGAAACTAAACACTACAATTAACGCCTTTTAAATAAGTGTGCGCAAATGACCTGAGGTGCATACATTAATCGCGCTATTCCATCTGTGCTGTTTTTTTTAGATTATACAATTAACAAAATAAATATTTTTTTCCTCATGTTTATTAGGTCCACCCTCGACAGACAGACTGTTCTCCCAGTCACCAATTCCTCATCCCAAATTAGAAGAAAAGAGAAAAAAGAAAAGTATATCAATGATTGTTCGTCGTTGTCGACCGTTGGCGTCAAATTTACATTTTTTACTCTCGTGGCTCTCTTTCACATATTTACAGAATACCCCGTTGTTTAAAAATATCCGAATGCAGACAATAGAGTATCATAAGCAAGACTAACTAGGACAAAAAAGCACGTGTTACCGAAACCAAAAATATGCGTATGTACATCTACAATGAACTGGATTATTTTGTTAGGTTTAAAATGCAACCCGGCATCCTGACGGACCAGCAACGTCACGGGCAAGTCACTGCGCCCATTAAGAATCAAATAGCAATGACCTAACTAATAGAATATAATAAGTATATTAATTTATTCACATCTTAAAAACATCAACGAAATAACCCGGCCCTGACTGACGAAATTTCTGCAAATTCACCCAGGGCGCAGTAAACATGGTATAATTTGTCTTTTTCGTTTGAGGTTTTTGTCTAATTAATTGATTAATAATTAATTTGATTATGAAGTTGTTACAAGGATACCTCAAAGTATGCACGAAGGCAGTACTGCGGATGTCGATGTGACGGTTTACTGTCTGAGTGCATACTTTGAGGTATCCTCGTGATAACCTTATTATTATAGATCTTTTCGTTCCAAGGATACATTATGGGAATTCCGAAATCCAAAAAGTTTAGAACAGAATCAGCGAACTTCTTTGTCTGGAGTCCGATCAAACCCTGGAGGCAGCCATGTTTGGATAAATTGTTAGAGGACGCTTACGCGAGTAATCATTCCATATTTGGAATTCGCATTTCCTATTTTGGTAGGATGAAAATATCCCGTAAAATACTGCAATATTATGGCAGGATGTAACTTACTAGTATGGCGTTACGGTGACAGATTTTTATTAATGGTTATTATTCACTGTTTCTTAGGGTTATTTTAAATGTACAGTCCTCAACGTAGTGCCTTTACGTATGTTTACCTATTCCGAGATTGGGGAACGACGGTTTCCCGCGCCCGCTACTAACATCTTTTTCTTTTCTTTTTGTAATTTCACTTTACCAGCCCTTCGTGGATAAATTAAATTTGATGGATGAAGAACGTACAACAAAAGCAACAGAAAATCTGTTCAAATCTACGTGGTACACTCTGTCGTGGATTTACACTACTTCTATATTATTCAGTGGCAAGTACTCCATGTTCCAAGACCCGGCGTCTGTATTCACAGGTTCGTTGATTATTATAATTATTATAATGTAAAAATAAAATAATAATCCAATAAAGACAGGGTCATTTTTATGGGAACTATTTTTCTAGTAAATTACGGGTGCTTTAAACAAACATTACACTATTTTTAGTGCCCAATATCTATATTTTAAATTCCTGCTATTTTTGTCATTAGATCTACCGTGGCGCTATTTTGTTGTTCTTATTATTATGTAATGCAGTGATATCCATATGTATATATGTGATTCTTTACTGTAATAATCACATACTCGGTTCGGCAAGCAACCGAAAAATAACCCCAAAATCAAATTTTATTGCTCAATGTTATTTTTGAACATGTAATCAAATGAGTGGTTATCGGTAGGAACATTGATGCTCTCAGCGTGATCTGCAAACATTTCCGGTACTTTAATGTTTACCGGATGATCTCGGCCCCAAAACAGTAATACATTGGCACAGTGGTATGGATCTACCCGTATATATTTCAATGCATATTTGCATATTGTTGTTCGCTCCTTATGTTCGTCCAGTGGTATGCAATTATCCGTGAATATTTAAATACTTTTTTGCATATTGTTGTTTTCTTCGTACAATTGTCTAGTGGTCTCAGAGGGACTGGCACGTGCGCTCTCCGATCTGGATGGAACGTTTCGAAGTCGGTCGTCCGTAACCCATCGTCGAAGCAACAACGTCCCTTTTACGAACAGATGAAATAATTTCAGCGATTTTTTACCGAATAATTATTAACTAAATATGAAAAAAATCTCAAACAAATATACAGGCGCTAAAATTATGTCTATTGCAAAACAATTCAACCGACAATCAGTTGACGACACTAGTTCTACGCGTGATTTTATTGAGTTCAAAATTGTTCCATTTCAAACTGCGCATGCACGCACATAGTGGTTTATTGAAATGCATACTAATTAGAGAATTTGTCACTGGTAAAATTTACTGAAAATATTTTGAGCAGTAGTAGGTTATTGTCATCAGTTTGCTGGAGTCTGATCAAAAACATGTCTAAAAAAATCACTTATACATCAGTTTTTCAAATATTTTCCAAGCTCGTAATGATAGAATCATTCATTTTATAACTATCATGTTAGTTAAAAAAAGCATTTTGACACAGTTTCATTAAAAAAGACGAATTTTTCATTGCTCATAAATACTCATGTTTGCAAATGAGACGATTGATTTTTCTGCCAATCGTGTCATGCACCCCCCCCCCCGAATGGTATGGAAGTATCCTGTGAATATTTAAATCCTTATTTGCAAATTGTTGTTTGTTTCATACATTGATCTAGTGACGTGGAAGAATCGTGTATATATATTTACGTGGTTATTATATTATCATTCATTTATTTTCAGATTGGTCCAATGGAATGGAAGTACCCTTGGATATTTACATATTCATTTGAATATTCTTGTTTGCTTCATTCAGATTGGACCAATAGTATGGAAGTACCCTTAGATATTTACATACTCATTTGCATATTCTTGTTTGCTTCATTCAGACTGGTCCAATGGAATGTAAGTACCTTGAATATTTACATACTCATTTGCATATTCTCGTTTGCTTCATTCAGATTGGTCCAATGGAATGGAAGTACCCTTGGATATTTACATCCTTTTCGTCTACCAGTGTGGTTTCTATGTACATTCTATCTATGCGAGTATTTACGTTGACGTCATCAGAAGCGACTTCTGTCTGATTATAGCACACCACGTGTTGACAATTATGTTACTTGCATTTTCGTTTGTAGTTCGGTGAGTGTACGTACTATATAGATTAATTGTTCATACAAGATTGTTCTTGAATGGCTACCCAACAGTTACACCTAACAGTCAGAACAATCAGAGAGTAACTTGTCTGTTGACAGTTTTGCTTGGCGTATCAAATTCTGGCTTGCATATATGTTTTGACTCTACTGACCATCTGTCATGGTTATATATGTCAGTGAGACAATGGACGCAGCACAGAAGGAGGTCAACAACAAGTCTTGGCGCGCATGCGTCAAACGTATATTAAATGTCTTGCTATATGGTTATGGCATACGAAAGGCATATATGCATGGCCGAATGTAAAACGTCGACAAAATCTGCCAAGGAACAAGCTATTATTTGATTGCCCTGAATGTTAGGTGCCCACCAAATCTACCCTATCTTTATCATTTATACTCTGACTAAAAATCACGAGTCATTGCGAGGCTACTTGCGACATTGTGTCCAAATACCCAACCCGGCTAGCATTTAATAGTTGGAGTGTAATACCAAAGTGGCTTAAAAACAAAGTATCCCCTGGTATCAAGGATAGTTAAAGAGGAATTCAAGATAAACAACATACAAAAAATGTAGTAGCACGCAGATCCCAGTTTTTATATCACATTTCATTTTCTAGATATTCAATTTTTTATCAGTATTGTGGAGTGCGCCATCCAGCAAGGGGTTGTGGGTAATGTTTTACATCATAACCACTGTCGCGAGATACCCTTCCCCTCTCCTGTCGCGCCTAGTTATCTGTTCACCTTCACTTAGCCTATTCACTGATTTCTTTTGTCTATGTCTATTCATATTTTAATTTGATTTTGCATACTAGTACTCTAAATTGGAAGAGGCGCGTGCGTAGTCAAGCGTGCGCACTGAATCATGCGTGGTAGTTTTGGTAATTTGAAAATAACAACAACTGAGCGAATGTTAAATCTGTCCGGGCGATCAGAATAGGAGTCGGGGTACTGTTGTTTACTCACATGATCTTACGTAACTATATTTTGGTTCTTAGGTACCATAAACTCGGTGTATTGGTCATTTTCTGTCATGACATCTGTGATGTTCTCCTGGAGATTGCCAAGATATTCATACAGACCAAAGACAGAAACGGGAAATTCCACGTGTTCAATGAAATCATGGCGAACATATTTTTCGGGTTCTTTATAGTTGTATGGTAAGTTTATTGGCAATGGCATTCCACTGATTATACGTGTGTCGTGTTGCGGCTGCTATTAATGTAAGTGGGTCTAAACTCGGACCGTCTGGCGACGAAGATGTGGATTTGCGAAATTCATCGGTGTGTTGTGTAATTGGTCACCATTTACAATGTTGCTAATCTGGCTCATATGATTTTTCCAGTGAAAGACGTGCTGCAATATAATAGGTGATTTTTTCCCGTTTACTATGAGATCTCACTTATTGCGAGAAAGGCGCAGACCATTATAGGTCAATGTCGGAATTCCGATTTTCCGCTATCTTGTAAAAACGTCCCAATTTGGTCTGCGTAGAGGGGGGATTTTGCTGCATAAACGTAAAACTCTGTACACGTACGAACATTTCCCTTATTTGGACCACTTTCATTTGTTGACTTTTGATGCAGCAAAAAAGTAGCGCGTGACTGAAATAAAATCACGTTACTGACCACAAATAATGACGCAGGCACGAATACTTATCGCTGGCAGTTTGGGATGTTGTATCTCGCTCAATTATTATTATATGCAGGGGAAATGTATATTATTAAGATTATCAAGAACATACCGAAAGTATACGCGAAGACAGTACGGGGTGGCCCGTCAGACAATACGATCACCGGGCGTACTGTCTTCTTGCATACTTTGCGGCATTCTCGTAATAACCTCATACCGTGTTTAATCATGGTTCAATAATTTAGTTTGACATAGCATTACATAATTAACTGGCAAATGAAAACGTTATGTATGCTACAAACAATGCAGTCTTCATCCGATGAAACCGCTAGTGTTAACGAGTATATCATCCAATCAGAGTAACAGAAAATATGTGTGTTGCCTGGACAATATTTTTTAAGTCATAGATTGTTACCCTGTTTTTTTTTTATCACTAGGATCTTATGCAGGTTATATTGGTACCCACTCAAAGTGTTATATGCAGCTGGTAGATTCTTCTTTCCTGTTGCTCCATTCGTCACCACATTCAACGTCATGTTGTGGTTGCTATTAATGATGAATATCTACTGGTTTTGGGTAAGTTTACACTCTGACCTCATCGAGCGACGATCGAAGTGATACTTTTACGCAAGATCCACGCAAATTCATCGACGAATTGTATAATTAGTCGACATTTACAATATTGCTATTCTTGCAAAAAATATTTCCCCAGTGAAAAACATATTGCGATACTAGGTGATATAGTTTTGTCACATCGTAATATAGGACAGCAAGAAACATTGTTTGATTTGAAATGGAGACATGTGATACATACCAAATCATCTCGAAAAGCAACAGGTTCGACGTTATGACACCTGCTCATGCGGCAGATGATAGCATTTGTATTACAAACATAGAATTTGTATTACAAACAAGTGTCTACCCATAGGCCTTCGCATTTTTAGCGTGCGTTGTGTTGTCGCTTGCTACTCAATTTCAGCGTGTGTGCAGGTGGAAACCCCTCCACTTTAAAGTTGCGCTCTGAAATCATTGCGCACGGGCGTTTTTACGATTTCATTGATGTAATGTTACCTTCTCTACAGCCAACAGTAGATCATACTGTTATTTTTTTTTCCATTTCACTATAAAAAACACACGTTACAACTGTGGCCAATCCCGACTGCAAAATTGCATAATAGTGTGTTCTTCAGAGATTGGCATGCAGCCTGACATGTAGGCGTGAGTGACGCCCTCGCCGGCCGAACGGCATCAGGCCTCATTTTGTGTTTTAGAGCACCGCGGAGGACGTAACTCACGCGACCTTATCAGGCTAACTCAAACGTGAATAATATTTTTCATTGGCAGCTTATGTTGGGTATAGTAGTACGTTTGCTGACTGGAAACATGGGGGACGGTCTTAAGGACACCAGAGAAGAAAATGGCGTAGAACATGGTCAAGCCGA